GGCGGGTCTCCTCGCAATGGTCGGAGAGAGATTGCCATTCTGATCTCTCCTCCGATCGCTGGACCTGGAAGTGATGTGTATTACATCACTTCCTGTGTCACTATATACAGTCTCCGGCTCTTAGGGCCAGGGGAAGAAGCTGGTGAAGAAGATCTCTGCTTCCTCAGCTTCTTTGGGGTCCCTCCCTGTACCTGTGTGTGAGGGGGCCCTATAGCAAAACCATTATAGGGGAACCGAATTCTGGAAGCAGTGCCCATGAAAAGGCAGGCGGAGGGCAAAGGACTAGTCGCCAGTCTTGACTGTGGTTTACCTGCAGCTGATACCCATGGCAGACTTACCATGCCACTATGTCTCTGTGTGCAGGTGGCCATCTTGGTAGAGACAGGGCTTTGCTTCCTCATGTCAGAGCCTCCAGCAAAGACAACAGTGAGCTGCACTGTAGTGACATCACCAAATCTGTTAAGACTGGAAGTCAGAGGCAGCAGTGCCTTAGATCTCACAGTGTAGCCAGACAGCTCTGGGCTCCCTGTGCTTCCGGGCCCCATAGAGGTTGCATGGTCTGCTATGGCTATAGCATGGTCCTTGTGTGTGTAGCTTTTTGGAGCTTCAGGAACTAGCCTTGGAGCGGCAGGCAGGGTAAATCCGGTCATGACCATGCCACTATGTCTCTGTGTGCAGGCGGCCATCTTGGTAGAGACAGAGCTTTGCTTCCTCATGTCAGAGCCTCCAGCAAAGACAACAGTGAGCAGCACTGTAGTGACATCACCAAATCTGTTAAGACTAAAATCAGAGGCAGCAGTGCCTTAGATCTCACAGTGTAGCCAGACAGCTCTGCGCTCCCTGTGCTTCCGGGCCCCATAGTGGTTGCATGGTCTGCTATGGCTATAACACGGCCCTCGTGTGTGTAGCTTTTTGGAGCTTCACTTGATAATCGAGTCCATCCCAGAATTCTTTTCATGATATAAACAGCACTCGGCTATTCTTTTCTTGCCATTTAATTATAAAATATACAGAACTAAACAATCTGAGCAATACATATATCTTGTAATCATGCAGCCATTGTCTCATAGACTTACTGATTCTTTATTGACCTCGTAAAAAGCGCACACATAAAAACATCCAGGGCTCTGAGTTCATTTTTACCATTTTAAAATTTTGATACAATGAAAAAAATACTTTTTTTTTTTAAATATGAATATACATATTCTTACTCTGCTGCAAATAAAGAAGCTTACAATAGCTTCATAGTGCGTACATATTGGCATTTGTTTTGTTTTTTTTACAAGTCAACTGTATCAGTTGCATTCATTCTGAGCGTAGGCCGTTGGCGCGAGGAGAGGAGGGAGAATGATACAGCAACTTGGAGTAACGTAAAGCCGAGATTTTGGAAAAGACAAAATGCTATCTGAAATACTCAAAAGATAATAAATAAAGTATGTACATCACTGAAAGCGGTTTGGTGGACGCAGAGTAACGATTTTATAAAAGAAAAGAAAAAACAAAAATAAATTGTACTTAGGACACGCGGGTCTGAGGTTGGGCTCCGAGATTTCCAGAGGTACCTCTCTGCCAAGAGTAGCGGCCTTTAAACTTAAAACGACACCCAACAGATCGGGATACAGAGGTGCTCGCAGGAAGTGTCTGTCCCAGATGGCTGTGGATTGGGGTGGCCATTTTGGTTTGCATTAACCACCGTGCAGTCAAGACATTTATAAGCGGAGATTCGTCCTCTGGAGAAACACCAGCCAGAGTATAGTAGACGTGTCCGTTCTGGGCTTACACCAGCTCTTCACTCCCAACGTGCCAGTAAATTCCAGTCGCTCTATGCTTCTTTGGTTCGCGCCGTACCGGCCAGCCTGGCTAAGCTTTGGGTTTCCTGTTTTTCCTTCATGAAAATAGACATCATAGATATTAGTAATATATATATAGTAGGGATGCACCGACACCGATACTAGTATTGGTGATGATACCGAGTATTTGGGCGAGTACTCGTACTCACCCAAATGCTCTGATACTTACCCCCGATACCGGAACTTCCAGTCAGACGGAGATTTCCTCTGACCAGCAGTGTTGTGAGGGAGCATGGATCTGGCTTCCCAGCTAATCAACATTGAGCCAGCCAAATAGCATGGATTTGGCTTCCTGGGCCAATCAGGGAGCCAGGCAGCAGGTAATGACCCATCGCCCAGCTTCCTGATTGGCCGGGAAGCCAGCTCCATGCTCCCAGGAGTACCAGTATCAGTATTTGGTATAAGCGTTGACCCGGTCAAACAGCATGAAGCCAGCTTCCCGGGTCAATCAACAATGAGCCATCCAAATAGCATGGATCTGGCTTCCTGGGGCAATTAGGAAGCCATGCAGCAGGTAATGACCCATCGCCCAGCTTCCTGATTGGCCTGGGAAGCTGGCTCCATGCTCCCGGAAGTACCAGTATCAGCAATGTGCTGGCTAAACAGCATCGATCCAGCTTCCCGGGTCAATCAGGAAGCCAGGCAGCAGGTAATGATCCGTCGCCCAGCTTCCTGATTGGCCGGGAGCCGGCTCCATGCTCCCAGGAGTACCAGTATCAGTATTTGGTATCAGCGTTGACCCGGTCAAACAGCATGGTGCCAGCTTCCCGGGTCAATCAACGATGAGACGGCCAAAAAGCATGGATCCGGCTTCACGGGCCAATTAGGAATCCAGGCAGCAGGTAATGATCCGTCGCCCAGCTTCCTGATTGGCCGGGAAGCCGGCTCCATGCTCCCGGAAGTACCAGTATCAGTATTTGGTATCAGCGTTGACCCAGCCAAACAGCATGGAGCCAGCTGCCCGGGTCAATCAACAATGAGCTTGGCCAAACAACATGGATCCAGCTTCCCGGGCCAATTAGGAAGCCGGGCAGCAAGTGACTTGCTACAAAGTCTGATCACTGGGGAAGGGGAGACTGAGGAAATGCTTCCTCCTGCCTGCAGCAGACTGATGACATCATCTCAAATGATACTGTCGCAGTATATATTGTGACATGTCAGGATGTGTACAGTTACTGAAATGTTCACTTTAAACTAAACAAAATCCCCGACTTGGTCGACACAATAAAACTTACAGGCTAAGTTTCCGGGCCTGAGCTTCTTTGCTTCCGTTTGTCTTCTGGTCAACTGCGTTCGCTGTGACTCGAGAGGACGTTGTGGCCGTGCTGGAGAAAGCCACAGATCCACTGGCACTGCCGGTCCTGACTTTAAGTGAGTCCTCTGAAAAACACGGCTTCATATTTTATATGCTCCAAGTACATATACTTATTATACATAAAAATAAAGTATTCAAAACATTAGAGCCTAGCCGAAGTCTCACATCTTTTTATCACGTTATAGTTCTGTACTATTACTCATTATGATTTGTGATGGACCTTTGCTTGATAATGCCTTAAAAATGCCTTTTTCTTTCTGCAGTGCTCTGTGGTAGCAGAGTTGAGTAACAGCCACACCCCTGAGCATGTGTATTGCAGAGTAGAGGAGGGGGGCGTGTCATGGCCAGGTCAGATCTGAATACTGCAGCTGTGTGCTGTGGGTCTAAAGCTGGCCATACGCTGTTAGATCTTCATATGGACGTTCATACGTAAAATCTCAGCAGGACTCACAAGCAGGAGTGTATCGAATCATGGCTGGCTCACTGCATTCTGGGGCGGAAGGGGGCGTATTTCCTATGCTCCACAGCGCCATCTCGTGGCCATAATGTGGTATTACATTACATTAGACCTGAAAAGAAAATATACTAAGGGGGCTATTCACAAAGGAGCCTAAGGATCCAGCTGTAGCTTCGGCTGATCCTTCAGCTCGCTTCGGACGCTGGAGCCCTTCGGTTCAGTCGTACTAGAAGACTCTAGCAGGTGGTGGCCAATAGGAAACAGTTGGGCGGAGCTAGCTGTCACTGCTAGCTCCGCCCAATTGGGTTTTTTTTTTCTAATTACTTTTTTTTTAAATTCTTTATTATTTTTTTTATTTAATATTTATTTTCATTTTTAGGGCCAGTTCACACCATATGCAGTTGTGAATAAAGCACAAGAAAGCCCATAGGAAAGTATTGTGATGCATTTTGACTGCAGCTGTCGAAATAAACGGACTGCATCCCAATTGCATATGGTGTGAACTGGCACTTAAAAATATTTTGCAACTTTTTTTTCCTACTTTTTTAAACTGTTTTCTATTCTGCTCGCTCCCTCGGAGGTACCAAACAGAATAGCCGTGCCAAATGCAGCTCGCCGGGATTCGGCTATTCACTCACTGTTGTTCGGCCCCTATGTGGACAGGGGCGAATGGCAGCGAGTGAGCTGCCGGAAACTTCGGCTCAGCCGATCCAGCTGAGTCAAAGTCCTCCTGCACTTCAGCTTAACCGCACAAGCAGAGCATGTTCGGCTGACCGAAGTGCAGCCCAAGGCAGCCGATGTACGACTGAAACAGTCGCACTGAGCTGGACTGAATAGCTGAACGTTGTTCGGCTCACATCACTACAGCTCGGTTATTCACTGGGCTGCCTTCGGCTGCTTTGTGAATAACCCCCTAAGAAGGTTTTTGCCTCTATTTGCACAGAAAGAACGTTCACAGTGAATCAGAGGGTGGAAGGCTCTGTGAATTGTTTATAAATAGACCTCTTTGGTGAACACTTTTGTTTATCTAACTTATTACTATTGTTTATTATTAAAAAATACACCTTCTCTAATTCTTACCAACAAATGGCAGCAAGACATTCTTTCCAACACCGATCACTGAGTTACTTTTGCTGCAAGAGATACAAAAAATTGTTAGTATTGAACAAAATCTATCTATCTATCTATCTATCTATCTATCTATCTATCTATCTATCTATCTATCTATCTATCTATCTATCTATCTATCTATCCAGTTTTAAGCATATGTAAAGAAAAACTAATAGCCAAGACCTGATATTGTTTCATTTTAGGTAGGGAGGAGGAGCTGGAAACTGTCAGGCTTTTAATTCAATCTGCAACATAATGCAGTTGGACTGTAAATCCCTTTTAGGCCTCAATCAGCCGTCACGTACAGCTCCATGCTGCGTGCACGGCCATATTGGGCAGCTCCCGGGAAGGACAGGTTCTGCATGTGATTAGTACGCAGCCCCCGTCCTTCTCTATGGGACTACGTGGCCGTACACTCACTTGCCCTGCACGTCCATGCGGGTGTGTGTGTCCATTCTCGTACGCTGACAGGATGGATCCTATCTGCATCCGAGCCGGGACACTCGCAGACCTGCACTTGGGGTCAGCGTAGGGCGGAATATGGCAGCGTAGTCCCATAGAGTAGGACAGGGGCTGCGTACTGATCACATGCAGCACCTGTCCTTCCCGGGAGCTGCCCCATACGGCCGTACGCGGAGCTGTACGTGCCGGACGATTACAGTGTGAATGAGGCCTTAGATTTATCATCAACTCCTGTGCTGGAGGTAAAACCATCAGGGGTGTATTTATAAATATTACGGCCACTAGATGGAGCCGAGGAGCACAGGAAATATATACTGATGTCCTATGCTCGTCAGCGCCATCTAACTGCCATAATGTGGTATTTTCCTAATATTACATTACACTTGACATGAAAACATAGTAAGAACATTTGTTTTTGCCTCCATTCGCACAGAAGGAACGTCCACTGAGTTTTGCAGGACGTACGGCTCTGCAAATTATTTATAAATACTCCGTAAAGTGTATCTTTGTTAAACTTTTTTTGTTGTTGTAGATAGAGTAATGAAGGTTTAAAAGCTTGCCTAGTTTAGCTGTCTGGCTCCAAGACAACTTAAAGCTGAACTCCAGGCACAAAAGTGTTTGTTTAAGTATATTTCCCAATAGCCACAAAGGATATAAATCCACTTTACAAACCCTTTAGGATGTAAAAGTGACAGTGACAACATCACTATGCTGTCCATAGCATGTGCAAAGAGTAGAGCTGAAGGAGGGACCCAGCAGGCTCCACCCACTACAGGCTGCCTGCAGAAAATTACAAGCAGACAAGACCAATCACCCTGCACAAGGATAGAGAGCAGAAGTTACTGGTCTTTATTACAGGAGGGGGTGGAAACAAGACCAGTCCCATGCAGAAGGTGAGTGAGCAGCAGTGAGTGGCCTTTATTACAGCAGGGCGTGGAGACAAGACCAGTCATCTGAAGAAGGTGAGAGAGCGGCAGTGACCGGTCTTTATTACAGGAAGGGGCGGAGACAAGACCAGTCACCCTGCACAAGCAGAGAGAGAAGCAGTGAGCGGTCTTTATTACAGGAGGGGGCGGAGACAAGACCAGTCACCCTGCACAAGGAGAGAGAGCAGCAGTGACCGGTCTTTATTACAGGAAGCTCCAAGTCTCACACTGGATTACTGCACAGATCTGGAAGAAACAGAGATCTGTGCATTATACACATGACTCTTATATTTAGATCCCCGGAGTTCAGCTTTAACTGAGCCAGGTTGCCAGATGACTGACCCGAGCAAACTTCTAACTACAGTCAATTAAAACCTGAAAGCTAAGACTGTCTATCCATCAAGATTCCTGCTGCACAATAAATTTGAAGCAGGATTTGTGCATAACCCTTGAAACCCGTTGGCTGTCAACTCTTTTCATTGTGGCAAATACAAGTTTACATAATCCCTACAGCTTGATGCTCTCATCCTTTCACTCCATACAAGGTGACTCCCCCTAGGACCCATTCGGGGGCCCCACCAGGCACTAGAGAGCCATCATGTTATAGAAATATAGAAACAAATCACCAGGTCCAGCACTCCTCCACCCTTACTCCGCATTAAAGTACACCAGGCATAGGAGGTATAAGGGGGCTGTTGACTTCCTTTTGAATGCTAGTTACCTGGCTTGTTATACTGACCCGTGACTACAACACATTCTAAGTCACTGACCTGGAACAATGCAGAGAAAAGTCCTTCTCTGCATAATGGTTCCAGGCACGTAAGGCAAAACACTGAAGCCGGAGGCTGAACATGACAAGGTGACTGGTAATTTTAGGAGGTTATGCCTCTCTTAGTACAGGAAGGGAAGGATGACGTACTTGGTCTTGTCGAGGGAGCTGTGTTTCGGGTGCATGGCGTGGCTGCTGAACGACTGGCTCCGGATCAGCTTGCTCTTCTTGCTTTCTCTGCTGACCACTGCGTACAAGCAGACGTGACAGTGTGAGGCCTCATTCTACCGCAGTGATGTCATAGGTCATGTGACAACCTTTTCACTCACCTGTTTGGGTGCCTGAGGAGCCTCCCGAGATCACGGTCGGAAGGGATTTCGGCAACGCTGATCCCGTTTTACTGTCTCTACCTAAAACAAAGCAGAGAGTCAGAAACGGCTGAGCGGTGGCATGGTGTCTGGTCGGTCTCCAAGGCATCTGCTACCAAACAAGCACTTACGCTTCCTGTCGTATGTCTTCTCATTGCTGGATCGCGCCTCACTTTGTTGTTTTTCTTTTTCTATTTGTTCCTGAAAAACAAAAAAACTCCGTTCTATACCGGCCACACACATCACCACCACCTCTTTATTTCTCTTTTAGCGCAGATTTATATATTTTTTATTTCATCTGAAAATATTTGTCCAAATTTCACACGTGGATTCAATTTCATTCAATACAGTTTTGTCACTGACCTTCCCTGCTGCTGCGCTGCCAGACTCCCTCTCTCACTCGGTCGCCAACGCTTCTGGTTGCCATCTGAGGCATTGTGGTCAATTAGGTCATAGGCATGGGTCTCTTAAGGGGGCCCCACCAATTTAAAGGACCTTTGGCAGGGGCGTAACTAGAAATCACAGGGCCCCATAGCAAAATTTTGTATGAGGTCTTGTGATTTCTAGTTACGCCCACCTGATAACCCAAACAGCCCACCTAAGGGTGACCCTGCAGAGCCCACCATAGACTCTCAATGGTAGGCTCTGCAGGGTCTCAGGCGGGCGGTCAAGCCCTCTTACCTGTCAGCCCTGATCCTCTGTCCGCCTCCTTCTCCTCCACGATCGACTCCTCCGTCACTGGACCCCGCCCCCTCGATCGCCGTGTTCCGCCCCCTCGATCCCCACCTCCTCGATCACTGCCGACGACGGGCCCAGCCACCTCCTGCGAAGCTGCTGGTTGTCACCAACTCAGCAGCGGCTGTGAGAAGGAACGGAGCGTTCCTCCTCACAGCCGCCAGTGACAGCCAGCAGCCTGGCTGTCCGAGCAAGATGCCATAGCGACCTAGGCGGCCCGCATGGCATCAGGGAGATGTCCTGGCCAGGCCCCGCCGTGCCTCGGGCCCCATAGCGGCCGCCTGGGTCGCTATGGTGATTGTTACGCCACTGACCTTTGACCATGTCTGGCACCCTGGCACCGCGTTCTCCTGCGTTCTCCTGCGTCCAGTACCCTTTCCCGTGTGCTTGTTTTCACAATAATTTTCCTTTCAATTGACCTCCCGTGTACCAACCTCTGATGCTTGTTTGGATTTGCTTGTCTCCCGCCTGCCCCAACCCCTTGCCTGTATTCTGGCTTTCCTTAATCTCCACCGTGTTCCAGCCTGCTTCAGAGAGGTCCACAGTCTTGCTGCCTGGTCTGGCTAAAGACTATGGAAGCTGTGTCCACAAAAACAGGCAGAAGAAATGTAGGCTTGTGTCGACAATTGAGACCAGATACTAGAGATGGAATAATAAGGAATCCCGAAGACTGTCTTTTTGTTTTATGTTGTTCTGTTACATTGTAGTATGTAGATGGTCATTGTATATGTCTCAATGAAAATAATAAAAACTTTTGAACATAAAAAAAAAAAACAGGCAGAAGGCAAATGGCTAGCCAACAGTATTGCCTATAGGCTTCCTGCAGCTGATCTTTTCCCCATTACTGGCATATGCCTTGTTCTGTCCCTGTGGCCATCTTGGTAGAGGGCAGGGCTTTGCTTCCTCATGCCAGGGCCTCCAGCAAGGAGAACAGTGAGCAGCAGAGTAGTGACATCACCAAATCTCACTTCACATCTCCTGAGACTAGCAGTCAGAGGCAGCAGTGCCTTAGATATCATGCTGCAGATATACAGCTATGAGGTTGTAGGCTCATGAATGCATTGATATTCTTTAAAACCAAAGTTACATTTTTTAGGGTACTGCTTAGTCACAATTCACATTTCTAGATGTTCCCTATAACATAGCAAATGTTAATTTGCTAGGCTCAGGTCTACGTTGAACGTACCATTTCCAGCAGTAAGTGCTCCTCTCTTTCCTTTTCCTGGTCCAATAAGTCTTTTTCAAAGAAGCGTTTCTGGAACTGTAAAAAAAACCACAAAATAAACAATTACAAATGGATGCCGTAACGTAACACACTTGTAGCATACCAAGGCTCATCTAAAACATACCTGCAGGTACATTATCAATATGCCATAGAAATAGCCTGGAGGTCACTTCTACGAGGAGGAATGAAAATGGCTTTCCGCCATGATGGGCAGCCAATGTTACAGATTGGCTGGTTGCCGCAGTGTGTTGCTCTTTGTACTATGTAAAGAGCTGTGACAGTGACGGACATTTAGAAAACTTGGGGAAGCAATAGCGCCAGCGTGGCCAACAGTGCAAGAAAAAAAATATATGTGTTTGGATTTCATAACCTAAACCAGAATCTGCCCGATGGCTACGACAACAAAGACACTTCCTATTAAAGGAGAACTATGAGGGGGGTGCTTTTCACTCACCTCATAGTTCTAGCCGACCTGTGACAATGAGACTGTCACAGGTCGGCTCAGTAGATCGGGAGGTGAGGGAACACATACCGGCATTCGCTCACCTCTCGATCCTATCACGGCAGAGAGCCGTGACAAGGGAGGGGCTGGATTCCCCCCTCCTCCCTCCGATCCTCCAGCGCTGACTGGCGGAACGGACGGGGGAGGGGGTGGGTACAGCTGGCTCTGCCTCTAGATAGGCAGAGCGAGCTGTCAGTCACGCAGCTGGGCGGATCCCGACACAATTGTCGGGATCCGCTTCAGCTGCGGCGTCTCAGTATATAGTGAGCTACAGCTCGCGGTATACTGAGCCTAGGGTGGCGGGAGGACGCTAGTTTGTGTCCTCCCGTTACCCTAAGGAGAACTATGGGGAAAAGCCTTAACCCCATAGTTCTCCTTTAATAATCTGGATATCACAAGTAAAATAAAGAGATCCTTACAGCATCCATGGACATCTCCATCCGGTCGAGCTCCAGAACAGTCTGTGTGAATAAGAAGGAAGATACATTTAGTTAGACTTCAGTTGTGTTTTTTTTAAATCTTTTGCAATGATTTTTAAAGTAGAATTGAAGGCAAAACATTTGTATTTAGCTTTGGATAGAGTAAAAGAGGGTTATAACCTCTGCAGGCTTTTTTGTTTGCCATCTTTATCCCATTAGGGAGATTTTACTCCACTTCCTGTCTGATAGCCACAACAGGAAGTGAGTGAACATTCTTTCTAAAGAGAGGGAAATCCATGGTGGCCAACAGGGTCAACAGAACTAGTTTCCCTATTGAAAGATTTCCCATCTATTGCTGTTCTGGTGACCACCCAAAATTTGGGACTTTCTTTTGCTATCAGTGGTAAGAGCCCCAAAGACATATAGAGAGGGTGAATCTCCCTAATGGGGACTCAGACAGCAATAAAAACCTGTCAGGTGTTCTAATCCTTCTCCACTTGTTTCAGTATGATCCATTTATGTATTTGAATGGAGTTAACAATGCCCCTGTTATCAAGGGAGAGAACATACAGGTAAAGCGAACCTTCCATGGCAAACGGTAGGTGCTCTTTTTTGCCCCATGCCCCCCAAAGAAAATGGCTTTAAAAAGCAATCTGTAAACAAACCATTCACCCCCACCAAAAAAAAAAAAAGATCCTAGTAACTTAGTGCCAGCCTCTGATGCTTTTTGGGAGCTTGAAATCAATGAGAATGCAGTCTTACAATTGGCTGGAGTACATTCTTGCAGAATGCCAAGCTTCCAGCTGTGCAGGGAGGGACTGTGATGTCACCCATGAGGTCATCCATGCCTCTCGGAACCATTGGAGGCCGTGGTCAAGGAATTTTTTTTTCTTTTCATGGGATGGGGTGGGGGAGTGTTTTTTTTTTTTGGGGAATGTCTTTTTGAAGCCAATTGTGTTGGGGGCCTAGGAAATAATGTAAACCTTTTGTTTGCCATGGAAGGCCCACTTTAATCTAATGTGTCCTCATAGCTGAGCTCCTCCATGCCTATTATATCAATAATATTGAATTTATCATTAATCTTACACTAGGAAGTTAGAATGGACTATTACACATAACGGAGATATCACTCACCCTCTTCACTACCGCCAGGACGTCTCTGTCCTTCTCCTGGCACAGAAGTTTCCGGACGCACAGTTCCAGCTGCTGCAACAAATGTTTATCCGCCGGAAGCTTCAAAGTGGACTTCAGCTTTGGCAACATGTAGCAAACCTTCATCCTAGGACAGGAAGAAAGACATCCATTGCATAACAGAACACAGTATAATGTAAGGATATCTGTTCAATCATTTTAGATTAGGTCTGAAAATAACTGCCATTAGGATTGGGTTCTGATGAAATGCATTGCCCTATGTGTAACCAGCTGACAACACCCTCTAGAGGTGGAGGTCTACTTTAAGCAGTCCACAGACATGATAAATGTATATTACCGCATCATTGTCTCATGTCTATGGGGGCCATTACATTCCTGTCAGTCTACCATCTACTGGCACAAATATTCTAGAAAAATAGTACCAATTGCTACTCTCCCCCATCTGAGTGCAATTAGATTTCTGATTGGCTCCTAGTGCTGACCCTTCCTCTCTCAACCAGAGCCTCCCTGTGCAGGGGATTGCAAGAAGCTAACAGAAATACAGAATGTGTCTTTCCATACAAGCTGTACATATAGGGGCCCAGTAAATAAATGGAACTCCAGTTTGCCATCGAAGGTTCACTTTAAAGGAGATGTAAGGTCTCAGCATATCCTATCCTGTTATAACATCGGCAGTGTCTCAAAACTCAGGAGTTAAATCTTAAAAATGCATTCAACTCCCCTAAATATTACCAAAAAGCATCTTATTTGTGCATCACTCGGCTGACTACTTTACAACACACACAGGGACCATGGGGAACACAAGTAGCCCCCCTCCAGAAGGAAGGACAGTGTCACCACCAATTCAGAGATGATTGGAGGATCTGCAGCCGAGTGATACACAAATAAGATACATTGTAGTTCAGAGTTCAGGGACTTGAATGGATTTTTAAGATTTAACTCCGGAGTTTGGTGTCACTTTAACTAAATGTTTTCTCCTTTGCAAAGAAGCAAAGAAGAGATGTAATGTCCACTTTATACAACATGCAGGGACATATTTACATACATCTGTGTGAGTTTTATATGATTACATAATGGCATTTTGAATTTCAGGAGTCCTTGTCCTCTCACCTAACGTTGGCCACAGGATCGCTGGTCAGCTCCAGCACAGAGAGGTAAAAGTATTTGCAGAAGAAAGACTTTGAGAAGAACTCCATGATATATTCGCAGGTGTCCAGGAACCTCTGTCGGTTCCAGTAGCTCTTCCCCTGACCAAGTTCTGGAAAATAGAAGCGACAAGGTAAGCAAGGCTTAAAAATAATAAAACATTGAAGTGAAGTTTATAGTGACACTGTCCCCAGACTGAAAGTCCTGATAAAAAGTGTTCCTTTATAGGACAAAAAATCCCGAGTATGCGGTTAGGAGCACCTAGTGGGAAAAAGTTGTCTCGCTAGGAAGTTGGTTTAAAATGTTTATTGAATAGAAACATCAGATAAAGTCAACACGTTTTGGCCGAATAGACTCCTTCTTCTTCAGGGCTAATATGTAAAAACCAATAAAAATATAATAGATATAATAGGAAATATTTTCTAAAATACATAATTATCCTCTAAAACGTGAACATGAATAATATATAAGAAGGTCTACAATAATATATTATAATAACTACTAACAGTTAAAAGCCCATCTCTGGGCAAGAAAAGTACCCTTCCAGACGTCCCCACACACACGCACACTGCAGCGCTCATTTTCTTCTGGGATGGAGTAAAGCAGATTTACTACCTGATCCCTGCTCCCGCCAACTTCTTCTGGGCTTCTAGACTGGTCCCTGCAGCCTGTTGTTCCCTGGGCTCAGGTGGTCTAAGGACCACTAATGTCATCATATCTAAGGCCTGGTTCACACCTGGGCGTTTTACAGCACGTTCCTACGCGCTGTAAAACGCTCAACATGTGAAAACCAATAATTGCCTATGGGCATGGTACCCACCTGGGCGTTTTACAGCACGTAGGAACGTGCTGAAAAACGCCCTATGCCCAAAGAAGTACAGTAGCTTCTTTGGGGCGTATTTGCCGCACGTATCCATTAGGATATAGCCGGATAGCCCTCGTAAACTCACGTTTCTTTTACCGCAAATCGCTGTAAAAACGTGGCAACCGCACATATTCCGTATGCCCAGGCGTGAACCCAGCCTAATGCAGGTTCCATAGACCTACATTAGATGTGACGAAACCAAGGGACAGTCCACCATCCGGAGCCAAGGGGAAGAAAAGGAGAGCGCCAACCACCAGGGGAGTGGGGATCAGGTAAATAAATCTACTTTACTCCAGCCCTAGACAAAAACAACCACTTGACCCTTAGCCGCACTGCAAGGGTACTTTTTTAAGATGGACTTCAATCTCACCAACAAAATAGTAATAACAGTAGTAGCAATGGGTTCAGGGTATTGCCATTACTTTATGCCATTACTACAACTCATTATAGTGAGAATGGAGATAATGGGGTAAATTAAATGGTTTTTAGGCTATTTTCACTTGTGGTTGAATGTTATGGGCAGTAGTGAATCAGGAAAATACCACATTATGGCTAATAGATGGAGCCGAGGATCATAGTAAAAAAAAAAAGACATCTTAGTAGCAAGAGATACAAAGTAATAGTTTTAATGGAATGCTAGAGGGAATTAGCAGATACATGTAACCTTTGAGACTACAGGGATCCCCATAGTCGGAAGGGTTACATTTAAATGATACACAACCCCAATTCCAGAAAAGTTGGGACGCTGTGTAACTTCTACATAAAAACGGAATGCAATGATTCGCAAATCTCATATACCAATATGTTATTCACAATAGAATATAGAAAACATATTCAATGTTTAAACTGAGAAAATTTACCATTTAAGGAAATAAATAAGGTAATTTATTTAAATATTATTTAAAAAAAAGAAAGTCAGATGGATGCACGTACGTTCCACCAGTTTCTGGATGATTTCATGCCTCTGCTCCTGTTTTCGGTTATAGCGCAGGAATATACACAGCGTCCGGCTTGCTGCTTTCTGCACCGGTAATACGTTCTGAAAATAAAAGAGCACTTTCCTCATTACACCCTGCGAAAACTGACTAAAGCAGAACTAAAATTCAAAGGTGGATTTAGGTCCACATTGCTATTAGAGTGTAGCTGTATACTTTCTTTGAACGTACAGGTTCACTTTAAGTGTCTGTTATCTCCAGCATTAAACTCTGTTCTTTCCCACCATGACGTTTTGAATGTTTCTACCCATCGTGGAGCATTTTAACTTCTGTTACACTGTCTATAATATAAAATACATTCAAAATCCAGGAGGGATTATGGGAACCTCTCATAATGGGTGCAGCAGGTGTACTGACCCGGGAACTCAGCTCAGGGATGGTGGGAAACCCTCATAATGGGCACAGCAGGTGTACAGACCTAGGAACTCAATGCAGGGATGTTGGGAACCCCTCATAATGGGCACAGCAGGTATAATGACCCAGTAACTCAATGCAGGGATGTTGGGAACCCCTCATAATGGGCACAGCAGGTGTACAGACCTAGGAACTCCTCACAGGGATGGTGGGAGTCCCTCATAATGGGCAAAGCAGGTATGCAGACCTGGGAATTCCGCCTAGGGATGGTAGGAGCCCCTCACAATAAGCACAGCAGGTGTACAGACCCAGAAACTCAACGCATAGCTCTCACAAATAGAGTCCCCAAGAGGAAGAAGAGACTGCCAGGCGGTTTAACACACCAGCATTCACCAAACACTGAAATATCTGTCTTTTAGTGGAGTGATCCTTTAGTACATTATTTTGGACAGCATATACAGAAGTCATATCTTACATTAGTTAAAATGATATTGAACATTCTGTGCAGGAACCGATAATAGATCTGATCGCTGGAAATTATGTGAGGCAGGCAGGAGAACTTCTGCAGTAACGTCTCGTGGCTGCGCCATTTCAGGGAGTTGGCAACTCGCTGCTCCGCCGAGGTCAGTGCCGGGACCAGGTCAGGTACAATCATGAGCTGCAAGGCAAACAGCAACTGTGAATGGAGAAGTCTCTAGTAAATATCATAATCTGCCACTAGAGAGAGCTATACTACAGGCTACCAGGCTTGGGTGACAGATCTCTGTTCAATAAGGAGCTACAAGTAGGCAGCAATACCCCACCATGCACAGGGGGATCTACAGGGACCACATTAAGGGCAAGGGGAGAGTGTCTGTTTAAGGAAGGGGCAAAACAAGAGAAGACCAGTTGACCAGCTGACATGGGCACTTGCGCATGCATGGGAATTAGTGTGCTGCTCTCTATCTGGAGTCATGGCCAGACATGCAAATAGTAAAGTATGTCACCAGCACACAATGGTTCAATCTTCAAGCAGTGATCTTTTTATTGATGCACACACATCTTGTCACATTGCAACGTTTCGGGGCCACTCGGGGTCCCTTCATCAGGCATGGCCTGCAGATACATGGTACCTGTCTCAGCTGAGCAACCATTTTTTTCTTACACTCTGACAGCCCAGCTACTGCTGATAAGGTTATGTGATGCCGAGCTTTACACAACCCAGAAGCACAGCAGCAAACAGAGAAATGAACTGATCTTCTGAGACATACAGTGGGGAGAGTGAGAAGACCCCCTAAAATCTTGTGCTTGTGCACACAAGTACATTGCCTTTAACAACCGAATGCAGTGTAGCTCAGACAAATGTGCTCAAAAGGAAAAAGTAGCAGGCTATGTCTGACCTGTTTTTCCCTGCAGTGCAAATACATCTTAGGTGATCTGCTGTGCCCCCAAAAAATGCAAGGCAAGCAGGCAAAACACAGTCTCAGGACTCTCATCCACACTGCACCATTAAAGGCACTGTCCAACTTTTGCAACATAAGATGGAGCAACACTGATCTAATGATTACTTTTTCGCTTTGAAACCTGCAAGTGCAATGCATGGGCCCTTGCAGTGTTTACCCCCAGCCCTGGGTCCATACAGTGTTACAGACTTTCTGTTATGGGGCTGGAGGACATGTGGTTGGACTACAATTGTGATGACATCTCTGCGCTGTTACCAGCAGGCTCCAATGAGTCCTCCATTGATGCAATCTAGACCTTAGTGTTACCACGTCACCATCCTTCATTTTACACCCTAAGTATTACCGTAACATGAAATTTGGTCTAAAACATGGAGCCAGCCCTTGAAATAAATGGGAAAAAGCTTGGACCAGTCCACACGAGCCCTAAGAATGCTATTACTATAAAACCATCCTTGCAACTGAAGGGCAACTAAGGAGGTAGGGCCGGCATACAATGTGTACACAGCATTCATTTTCTGCAGCCATTGTCATGTTACAAGTAGGCAACTCTTCTGGATATCAGAGCAGAGTCATAGCTTCAGCCATGACCATGATGTAGTCATGAAATAAGACGCTATGACCAGATCGGGTGTCCAGATTGAGCTCTGCCGGGGTTTTAGACACATTTAAAAATCCTGCTTATTAGCACCGGCGTAACCTGCCAACATTTAATTGTCCCGGCTTCAGTGCGGACCTTGTTATCTAACCCTGAGTTGTCGCCTCCACTTGTCATGAGCTCCAGAGTTTCTGGAAGATGATCTATTAACCCGTCCAAAATCTGCAAAAAAAAAAAAGGCCATTGTTAAAGCAGTATTAAATTATTCATTATACTTTCCCGCAAAGTATTTATTTAAAACTTTGCCCAAACACTTACAGTCATCATGTTTCCAAACATCTGCCTCCAGCTCTCTCAGCTCAGTTTCCCTGAACTTCCTGTCTAGTACAAGATCACACGGGACAGAGAAGTCTCCAGCACATGTACATATATTAGCTTAGAGAAGGGGGAAGAGAAGGGGGAAGAGAGGGGAGCGAGGAGGAGGGAAGAGGGGGAGGAGGGGAGAGGGGGAAGAGGGGAGAAGGGG